AATACTATTTTAAATGCTATGAGCTTCTATTAATGATAACAATAGCACTTAGACTTACATACTGCTTTACAGCCCTCTCTAAGCGGTTTACAGAGTCAGCCTCTTCCCCCCCAACAATCTGGCTCCTCATTTTACCCACCTCAGAAGGACGGAAGGCTGAGGCAACCTTGTGCCTTGGTGAGATTCGACCGGCCAAATTGCAGGCAGCCGGCAGTCAGCAGAAGTGGCCTGCAGTACTGCACTCTAACCACTGCGCCACCACGGCTCATCATAGCATTCTGAAGGCTTCCTGATTTAGCAGTATGAATACATGAGTACATGTTTTGCCTTGACAAGCCTCAAACACTTTTTCACAAAATTTCCGAGCTGATTACTTTACTTGGTTTGAATGGCTGCTCAGGCATTTCAGAAGGCAAAAAACAATTCCACTTGGATCGGCTTGGTTTAGTTTTGGTGGGTTCATGCTTGCATTCTGCCCAATCTCTTGTGTGCCCCTTTTGTGGAGATGGGGTACATTTAGAAGTGTATGGTCTGGTAAGATACAGTAGGTATGTGGGTATGTGTATATTGTGGGCTGTAGGTGCATATTGTGGCCTGGTGAAGATTTTTTTGTTTCTTATCTCTTTAGCACTTCAAGTAATTAATAGAACATTTCAAACAAGAATGATGCAACTAAATAACAAAAGGGGAGGGGGGGAGTCATCTCAGTAAAGATCCAGCCATAAGACTGAAAATGTTTCCTCTGTCATGCAGGAAGTTTGGCTATGTAGATTTCTCCTCTGAAGCCGAACTGGATAAAGCCCTCAAATTAAATGGGAAAAAACTGATGGGCCTGGAAACGAAACTAGAAAAAGCAAAGAGTAAAGAGAGCCTGTGGGAGAATAAAAAAGGTGAGTAATATTAGACTTCCACATGCTTTGTTTGGCAGCACTTTATATATATACACCATGTCCCTGATGCAGCAATTAAGGCTATAGTAATTAAGGCATCAGGTGAAAAACTGGGAGAAGGTGAGTTCTAGTCTTACCTTGGTCGCTGGATGACCTTAAAGCCAATCACATTCTGTGGGGGGGGGAGGAGGGAGGCAAGGACAACCACTTCTTACAAAACGTTGTCAAGGTAACTGCAGGGGCCGTCCGGGCAGTTGCTAACAAGCAAACACCAACTCAAAGGTGTGTCTACGCACACGTAAGGCTAGTTAACTATTCAGTATTCCTCCAAAAGCTTTTTATGAAAGCAATTCCTTCCCTCGTGTGCCAGATTACACCTGGAGTTCAACTCTAAAAAGAACAGAGGAAAATATATTCACCGGGCCGGAAAATTTATCTTTCCAGCCCAGTGATGCCTATTCTGATAGCCACTAAGCCTTGAAGAACTCCGTGGGTGTGTCCAGCTGAAGTCTCTGTATGGTTGTGAGGCCAGGTTTTTCCCCTAATCAGTTGCGCTTTTGATTGGCTGGTTGGCCAGCAGTGTGCAAGTGAAATTGTAATACGTGGGTGTGTGTGTGTGTTTTTCTCCTAGAGAGAGAAGCCAGGACCATTTTCGTGAAGAACCTTGCTTACAGTGTCACCCAGGAGGAGCTGCATGCCGCATTTGAGGAAGCCGTCGAGGTCAGGCTGGTGTCCAAGGATGGGAATAGCAAAGGGTACGTTGCTCTGAAGGACCCCAGTAGAGTTTTTATCTCTTTGCAATAAGATTTGTGCCGCTTTCCTTTTTAAAGGGATTCTGTCGTTGTAATCGCATCCCTGTAGCAAAGAAAGTCTTTGTTTTTTAAAATCTCCCGTGTAGATGTCATCTATTTTGAAGTCCTTGTGCCTATTCGGCTAAAGCAGTGTTTCTCAACCTTGGCAACTTGAAGATGTCTGGACTTCAACTCCCAGAATTCCCCAGCCAGCATTCGCTGGCTGGGGAATTCTGG